TCCTCTCACAAAGATTAGTGACTTCAAGAAATCCAGTCTGCCATGTTTATGGAATTTTTTCTTTGGGATTTATCTTCGATGTCTATCTGGAAGAATTGTACGATTAGAAAAAGGGTGATTTATCTTCGAGGTCTATTCGATGGTCGTAAGGGTTATATTATGATCTCTAGGTGTATTATGCAACTCAGTTGTGGAAAGAGTTTGTTAAAAGTGTTGGAAACTCTAATTTTGTCGATGGTATCTCTTGTGCTCAATAATGGAGCATTATTTTATGATTTGCCTATGAAAAAGAGGGGATTGCAGTTCCTGAGAATGAAGAAACTGCTGAATTTTTGTTGTTTCCATTCCCAAAAACAATAAAAGATGATGACGAAGTGTTTCCTAATGCTCGCATCCCTGATGTGATGCTATGAAAGGTTGATTCTGCTAATCCAATGTCGGTGAAATACTTGCAATCTATCGATCCAGATATCATTACTAGATTTTTGTTACTTCCTTCTGTTGGTCCACCGAAGAAGAAACAGGGGTCAAAGAAAACTGATGTTGAAAGTCATTTGAAGTCATCATCACCAAAAGCTACAAAGGTGGTTAAACCTAAAAAGATAAAGCAAAGTGAGCCAGCTCCGATTGTTGTCCAGAAACATGTTTTGAAGCTTCTAATAACTGATGTTTCTCAACTAGAGCTGAAGTTATACCTTCAAAGCCTGGGGTATTAAGGAGATTGAAGAAATTGGTACATCGGCCTTCTAATTCACTGGAAAGGTCATATACTTTTTCTCTGAAATTTACGATGAAGCATTATGTTACTAGTGAAGGTGTTATGATTCGGTAAGTTCTTGTTCCTGTTTCACATGCTTCAAAGAAAATGGTTGCCAAAGATATTGCCAAGAAAATTTCGAGGAAGAGAAGGAAGCATATTCTCGAAGATTCACAACATGATTTAGTTGTGCCAGAATCACCACTTATGGAGACTTCTATTCCATCACCTACAAAGCATTCTGGTGGCAATGTGGAGACATCTAATGTGGACACAACCACCAGTCTTGGTTATTCAACAAAAGTTTCAACTCTAGAGCAAACAGTTGTCACGCCTCCCAAAGTGACTGATGAAACTTCCAGAGATCAAGGTAATCCTGGTCTTATTGTCTCATCTGCTTTTGAAACTTCAACCATTAATACAACCAATTCGTTACCATCGTTTGTTTCCACAAATCCTACTGTTACCCACTCACCTACCTATTACAACATTCTTAACCAACCCATTTCTTCGTTATTTTCCTCTCAATCCACTCATCCACCCATCACCCATGAAGAAGAAGACGAACAGAATGATGAAGACAATGACTTCGATGGTACGTTTGCTGACATCGAGTTTAACCCGGAAGAGGAAAATATTCCAGAAAACATGTTACTTGTTGGGAAGCAGTTTGAAATTCTCAACAGAAAGCTTAATTCCTTTTGCAAATTCAAGCTAATGGAGGAAATAAACATTATGTATCAAGTATCGAAGTTTATTTGTTGTTGAAACGTCAAGAAAGTCGACTTCATGAAGCTATTAGTGATGTGGGTCATAATAATGAGACAAGGGTGAAAGCACAATCGTCTACTTTTAATTCAAATTTGTTAGGTTTAAAGGTTGTTGCGAAGGAGAGGCATGTCTTGTTCATTCAAGATGTTAAGAAAGTTTGTGAAGATGTTAATTTCAAACTTCAAGAACTCAGGGAGGATATGGGGCGAGAGATTGTAGTGTTGCAACAAGATTATTCATCCCTTCATCAGAAGGTTGTTATTATTGCAGATGTGGTGAAAAAATTTGTCAAGTTACATGAAGCTCTTAATCCCAAGGTCGAGCAGATGGATATTGATGATGTTCAAAGTTTCTCAAAAATTAATCAGCTATTGGTTGAATTGAAAGGTTTTGTGTTGAAGACAAATTTGGTATCATCTTCGTTAATCACTCCTAAACTTCTGTTTGAGAAGATTTTGTTTCTTGAATCCACAATTCAAATGGAATTAGATCCTTTATCGAAATTACTGAATATCATGCCAACAGAAGCCCCGCCTATTTTCACAGTGGTGCAAGGGGAGAGAGGATTGGTGTTGGTAGGGGATCTCGATTTGGAACTAGAGGAAGCTCTTCAAACAAAAACGATTAAGATGTGAAGGTTGTAGGTAATGTTTCTTCAACTCAAATTCCTACCTCGTTAGTAACTGTCTCTACAATCTCAACCTCTACTACCACAACAACAAAGCCTTTCTTGAAAGGAATTGTTATTGGTGAGTCTGCTGCTGGAGGGTCAAGTTCGAAACCTCCTACCACAGAGCAGTTGCAAAGTAAGGGAAAGGGTATATTGTATGAACCCACTACTAAAGAAAAGAAAGTTGTTGTAGAACAAGAGATGGAAAAACAAAGACAAATTCAAAGCATTCTTCGAACAAGGAAAAACGATCCTCCTAGGTTGAACAAGGGTGATCCTGCTAAATACTTTAACTATGAATACATCAAATCCACAGTTTTGTCTGGTGAGAAGCATTCATTTAACAAGACTCCTAAAAAGAGTTATGATATAGAGAACACATACATTAATCAGTTAGATTTTCCAATCAATCTGATGATGTTTCGTGATGAGCAATTTGTGATGGCTAACAATTTTAAAGATAAAGAAGAGTTTCGAGGATTGAAATATCGCTTTTATGCAGTTTTGGGGAAGAACGAAGATGTTGTATGGTCATCAGTCAAGATAGTTCAAGTCATTAATGTATCCAAAGATGTGTTATTCGAGGGTATGTTACAGAATTATCGATTTTTCACTGTCAGGGAAAATAATGTGGTGTTTGACTTCTCAGTTGTTGACTTTCCTCTAATGAATCTTTATGATTTTTTGATTGCAGCGAATATCTTAAAGTCAGTAGATTATTTGAAACATCAAACAGTTAACAAAGAAGATTTCATCATTGGTTTCGAACATTTGATAGTCTTTATTGATGGTTATTATGGAGCTCTTGGTGAAACTTGATGAAGTGTTAATCGAGTAAAGAGAATCAAGTCAGAGTAAAAAATAATATGAAAGAACATGAGATGTAAATATGATCTTGTTCCAGCTCTATTATACTTCTAAACTTTTATAGAAAGTAAAAAGATAAGTTTCTGTAAAGACTGTTATCTAAATCTAAGTAAAGTCCCTATTTATAGGAAACATGAAAGTATAGAAAAAATACTAACACATTGACATTTAAGCTTCAAACATTTAAATGCCTTAGTAAATACACTTACAAAGTACATGATGGGTATAGTCTTTGACTCATTACAAAATATCTTCGACCCTTACAATCTCCCCCTTTGGAATGAAGTCGACTTCTCAGGTTGTAAGAATCTGGATGACATACATCATTACCATTCGAGCTTCCCTATACCAAGATATAATCTTCTGAAGCTCCTTCTTATCCCCTACATTATTTTTCTTACAATTATTCATACGAACAATGAAGTATGTATATTGGGACATTGTATATCTTTCAATTTCACAGGCTTGGGACAAAAATCTCTTGGTTTTTCCAGCTTTACCTTTTCCAGCAACCATATCGAATGGTTTTAAACAAATTTCCCAATCAACATATTTCTTCAACTCTTGTTGAGACTTAGTCGGTTCCATGGGTACTTTAATTTCTAACCCCTTCACAGTAGCTAGCTACACATCTGTAAGTGCAAAACACTCATAATAATTCTCCAAGAAGATTTTGATGTGCGCAACTCCCAGTCGAAAAACTTTAGAATCAGTTACTCGAAAGTATGAAGAATTCTTGTGTTTTAAGGGAAAAGCAACTTGTATAAGGTCATACAAGTTCATGAGAGGAAAATCTGCAACTGTGAAATCACAATTCTGACCCTTCGCCCTTGCAACAAAAAATCTCACATTCTGCATCATATCTATGAATAAAATGTCCATTTTGATGCTAATCACTTTCTTGATTTTGATCGATGACCAAATTTCTTCTGGAGCTTTAGTAAGAACCGCATGAAAATGAGGCTTCATGTAGTTGTAGTCGTCTTCACTCTTAAATTTATCCAAAATTTTGAACTGAGGCATCAGGAACATCATCTCATTAATTGGGAAGTCAAGATGACACATGTTTGCATTAGAAACCACATAACTCAATTTTGGTTTCTTTTTGAATGCATACATGTGATTGAATGCCACCTTCGCTTTAATCGTCTCGTAGTTGTAATGTTTGGTAGGATCTCCTTTGTACAAACCAGGAGGATCACTCGCCCTTTGCCTCATTATGCTTTGAACTACTCTTAACTTTTCAATCTCGGCTTCGGCCTTTACTTTCTTCTCTTGCTTTGATTTTTCAACAACAATCAGCTTGCCTTTGTCTGTTGATTTTTCTATAACATCTCTTTCTTTCGAAGCATCGCCTTGATCAGTAGATGAAACAATTACAACTCCCTTCGAAATTGGCTTCATGATTGGCATTGATGTCACAATTATTAAGGTAACTGGCCCAACACTCGAAATTGTTGGCTTAGATGATGGAAGCTTTGAAGGAAAAAAATTTCCAACAACTTTAACCTCTCCATGCAAAGCTTCACCAACATCATTCGCATGAGAAGCTTCTCCAACTGTCTTCTCTCCCCCTTGCACCCCTGTTCGAACAAATGGGGCACCGGTTTACAGCAGATTTGAATTTGTACATAACGGAGCCAATTGCTTATGAAGAATTGCTTCGAATTGTGAAAAACTTTTAGAAAGGAACTCTATAATAATTATCGAAGATGTAGCAGGCTCGAGTAATGACTCTTTTAAATCCTTGAGCATCGAAATAACCTCCCCAAACTGTTGATTGTTAGTTGTAGAACGTTGAGTAATTTGAGGACTCAAGCTTTTATACAACTTAACATATGTCGTGACAACATCACAAATGATATCAAATTTTTTATGTAGAGTTGCATAATCATGCTGAATAGTAGCAACTTCTTTAATCATATCATCCCGAAGCTATTGAAGCTTAAAGTTGACGTCTTCTCTCACTTTCTTCACATCCATAACAAACAATGTATGTCTTTCATTTTGAACATTGGTTAACTCTTTGACAGCTCCCACATACTTTGAATTGAAAGAATTTATCCTTAACTCAGTGGTGTGATCAGATTGGTCAACCTTCTCTAATATTCTGGAGGCAGTGTCTTTAATCATACCGGAAACTTTGCTCACCATTATTGCTTCAAAAGCCTTCATTAGTCTATTAATTTCAAAACTTGAAACTGAACTTCCTCCCCCCATATCTGCTTGAGACTGAATAATGGAATTCAACTTTTTATTCAGAATTTTGAATTGTTTCATAGACATCAGCATATGGTCAGGGAAATCTTCTTCTTCATCATCAAATACCATATGTTCGAAAGTGCCTCCAAAGCCACCTTCTTCATTTTCAAACTCCTCCAATTTTTTTGATGGATCAGTGGATTGTGATGAAAAAATTGATGTAAAGGGTTGATTGACGATGTTTTCAAATGTGGGTGATTCAGTGGTGGAAGTGGTAGGGATTATATATGGAGGTAAAGAGACAAAAGTATTGGTAATAGGTTCGACAGAAATAACAATTGGAGTACCTTGTGGAGCTTGTGTAGATTCCTTAGATATATCTCCTTCACCCATGGTGACATTTACATCCGTATAAGATATGTTTGTAGTGATTTCTGAAGTTCATACCTCCTCATGAAGTAATTTGGCAGACGGAACTTCAGGTGGTACGACAACATTCTTCTCAGGAGATGTAGGCTCAATAATAGGAATTGGATCGGATATTTCAGGCACATCTTCTTCTTCAGATGATTACGTTGGAATAACAAGCTGCCTCTTCTTTGTCTTCTTCTTTTTCTTCGAAATCCTCTTTGCCATATCTTCAGCTCTTCGTTTCTTTGATAAAGGAGAAACTGGAGTTGGGACTTCTCACATAATAACCCCTTGATGAGTAACGTGAGGTTTGCGAACCACACTCGAAGATGGAGAACCGCCATACTTCAGCTTCAGTTTGCGAAAAACTCCAGTCTTGAAAGGAATTGTAACTGAAGTTGGTTCTAAAACAACAGATTCAACTGGCTTTACCACCACTTTCGAAACTTGCTCATCTTGCTTGGTGGTGTTCTTGGGAGACTTTGATTTCTTTGTTTCTTAATAAGTTGGCTCAGGAGTTATGATCACAGGCTTCTTTATTGTCCTGGATTTTTTCGAAAGACCTGCATATTCTTTTGTTAACAACTTCCCGGTTTCAATTTCGGGATCAATAGTTCTCATTTTTTCAATAAGCACAACATTTTTCGGATCAACTCTTTTCAACATGGCATAACGAATTCGTGCAATATGTGAGAAAATTGCAGCATCATCTGAAACTTCCTTCAGAAAATGATATTTCAAAAACTCAGCAGTTTCCTCTTCATCTGACACTTGAATCCCTTCTTTATCATATAAAAACCTCAAAATAAGACTCCAATATCGTGCACATGAAATTCCTTGCACTACATTAGTGCTTTCGACACTCTTCTAAAACTCCTTCAATAATTGTGTTGAGTAATCGACTGGAATATCATAATAAACTCCTGCAACCATGGTATAAACTTCCTGTTGGGTTTTTGAGCATTTCTAACACTCCTATGGTGTGCATGCAACCCTATAAACCTTAGATCTATGTTTTCTTCTAAAATACATGCAAATAATAATTTCTAGGGTTTCTTCCTAACTAGCATAGCATAAGGATTATGAATCATAAAACTACTAGTAGAAATACATACCTTTGATGGTGATTGATTGCTTGGAGTTTGAGAGCCTAGCACCAATAATGTGAATGCCTCAAGTGGAATCACAAATCACCACAAACTTGGAAAAACCTTGAGAGAATAATATGCTTATGTAGAAATCGGCCACCCTTAGTTCTCACACCACTAGTTGCCATTTCTTGCAATATGTGCATCCTTATATAGTGTGGAGGATTAGGGTAAACCCTAATAACCCATGTCTTTTCCTTTCCAAAGATCCATGGGTTAAAAGCTCCATGGATCATCCATGGACCCCCATGCATGCTTAGCCCATTCCTAATGAGTTTAAGCCCACATTATACAAAATGCAATAGCCCATGTTTAATTAGTCTTCCTTTTAATCACTAAACTAATTCATAATTAATTTAAGACTAAAACTAATTAAATAACATGACTTCATATTAATATATTATAACTTATAATATATTAATAAATCATAAACATACTATTCTCATAAAATTATTCATATAAATTGTTTGGGTGAACTGCAACCCAAATGGACCATGCCGGGTCGGGTCAAGTATATACCAAATAAGTTATAGACTTAGACACCTTATCCAACAGTCTCCCACTTGCATAAGTCTAATAACTATATTTGCGTATATTACTTCAGGAACCAACCAGCAATCATAGCTCTCGAAAACTCTGTTGAACTATGAAGCGCCATTTTAGATAAGTGATCATATAATCCTCTGTTCTCATGATATCAGCTGGACAAATACACGGAACAACGTCGTACTTATTGTCCAGCAGTTTGTTTCCCGATTTCCGATTTGTTTGACAAAGAACTAAATTGAACACATCAATTAGGTTCTGACCGGGCCCGATACATAGGTCAGCACAAAATCATCGAGGGGCCCAGATATCGCTTCTATTTCTAGAAGGAATAGATAAACTTCGACTCATATGCTTGTTCTACTACTTGTTCAATTGTACACAAAGGCACGTTTTATACCATAAAGTTACTGATGCGTTTACGTGCAATCAATGCACAACCAACTCATAGGTAACAACTCATATCTCTAGGTTTGAAGACTTATATGATATTACCGTCTCACGATCACTCGAGATAAATTCCATGAAGTGATACAAGTGAGCGTGGGTTCATTCAAATACTCATAACTTATGAGCACTCATGAATGTTGTAGCAACCATTGCTATGTCTAAACCCATTTAGCCATCTACAACCTCGATTCATGACAGTCTTAATTCATACGTACTTCCAACATATGAACGACTGTGGAGTGTTTAAATAACTTAGTCATTCAAAAGAATAACCTAGCTATTAGGGATGTCAAAAACATGCAAAGTGAAACACAATAATAATCGAATCCAATATGGTCTCAGAACCCTTTTGAATATAAATAAATCCACCTTTTATTTATCACCATATTGATTACACATTATTCATTGTATAATGTTTCAAATAATCAACTTAATACTTGAATAAAACAATAGTTATCCCATGCTCCTAGCATGTACACTTTGTTTTTCTAAACAATATTTATGCCATACTTCAAGTATGCACAATATGTTTGTCTATGATCTTTACTTTGTGAAATAGATCAATTGAACATGAACCCAATGATGTCCATTTCACAATCTCAAATCCTTATTGTAAATGTAAGAATTTCTAATTCCTACCATTTACCAAAAATCTATTAGATTTTAAACTTATATGCACTGATCCTCTCATAATGATTATGCACAAGGTCACCAAAACCTTGTCATCAGTCATTACAGAGTATTCCAAAGAAGATCAGCTCTATGGAAACGAAGTCTCATATTCAAAGTACATTGCTTTGAACATCCTTCTTGAATTAAGGTTTTCTAATCTTACACAGAATGAATAACTTCCACCTATGGAGACATTTCCATAGTCCCATTTTGACTATCACTTCTGAACAAGAGTTGCCTCTTTTTAGAAAATGTCAATATGGTCCTGCCAAAATTAACACTACACTTCCAAATGTCCCTGAGCAACCAATCTTTGGAAAACCTAAAATTGTCCTCAACAATTGCTTAATCACTTTAGTCATATCCAGTTCTAGACTTTTCCATTCTAAATTCCATGAGCATTTGGAAAATTTAGAAAGGATGAATATTATAGCACATGAAATCGATCCTATATCAAAGCATATGGGACACGATTCATGATGTCTCACATAAAGACATGATACTAGACCAGTCTCTTGCTACAATATTTTTTTATTTGCCATGTTTTCAAAATTTAACTATGAAGAGGGATGCCGTAGTCATAATTGAATTTTGAGAACGCAATATATATATGAATTTCCTTAAGTCGAACCATTCAGACATAAAATTCATATATATGTCCTTGACTAAAGATGATTAAAATCTCAATCTAAACTTCTAGAATTGATTAAAATCTTAATCTAAGCTTCTAGAATTGAAATGAAGTATAATTTCCTCTCCCTTAATTATAGAAAAACGACTTTTTCAACCCCTGCAATTTCACGAATTGAAACTTTTTTTTTTCTATAATTAACATTGCTAGCTTGCAATAATAGTAATCACAATTATCATGCTCCCACTAACATGATGATTATTAGCATAACACTTATGATCCCACTAGCTTTGACATGTATTCAGAAATCGGTTGGACTTCTAAAATTTAGATTCATACACCCTTCCGTAGATAGCTCACATGTGTGTCTAAACAATTTCAAGAACTATGAAAAAGGATGTCGTAATCATAGTCTTAATTGTTTAGACCTTTGCCATTTCTCACAAGTCCATGTTAGTGTGTCAGTTAACCACACACGCTCCACTAACGACTTTGAAAATGCAAATATCACAATTGTTATCTACTTAAAATCTACTTAGTGAAAGCGTTTCCTCACCATCATTCTCATGAATCGGAGAGAAACCTTATGACACTTAGATTTTATGGTGTATGAGTTCCTATCCATGTGAATTTGTCAAAACCATAATCACAAGACAAGGTTAGTGACAAATTCAAACTCATATGGATTGAACTTGTTAAATCTTAATTTCTTGTCACCTGGTAGCACAAGGCCCACCAATGCTTCCAAGCTGTTATACTCACAATTTAGAACTAACAAAACTCATATGCATAGTCAACTGAATTGGCACAAGAATTATGTCAACTTGATAGGTTGCAAACCTTAAGTCGTGTGCTAGTGATAAACTATAAGTTTTTATTCTTGATGAGTTCTTGAAACTTTCAAGACCTTTAAAACTCCCACTGTCCTTTTCATATATAAGTTTCTCTTTGTCAAGAACCATTCCTTGATAACCAAACAAATATTCAAGAGTTACTGCAGATTCTTATCAAGATAAACACTTCACACAATTGGTCTTAGTCGGTCTTTGTCTTATCCAAGACATCACAACTTACCAATTTCAAATGTACAGGAGTACAAAACATTATACACTACATTTGATAAGTGTTTTAAAACATACTTTAGGTCACTCAATGTTACAATCTTGGAGTATGACTCTAAGAGTTGTTTTGGAACGAAGTATGATTCATCTTCTTGATTTTAACCATTCCAACAATTCATGACCCATCTTCTTAGTCATAACAATGCACTAAGATGTCCTTAGAGTATGAATTTGTGATATGGTATCTTAATCATTAAGATGATCATAAAACATGATACTAAGGTACTCTCCTATCTTTTCAGATTCGAGAAACTTTTATCTTTCTGCCTAATTTGATTCTTTCCCATTCGTTCTGTCACACATTGAAAACTTTTCAATGCTTCAGAATTATACTTAAACTTGTAAGTATAACCAAATTTACTAAGCTTTAGCAAATCATGACGAATAGTCTTATCAATCTTTGTGGTGGACTTG